GGCGACCGGTCGAGGCTGCAGCCGGCGTCATTGCTGCCCTGATTTCTTCTCCTTCTGGAAGCTGAAGCTCGTACGTCTGTTCAGTTTTCTTTGTTTCTGAGCAAAATAGTCAGCCCGGGCGGTGCTTGCGCGTGACTCCAGGATGTAGTTAACCTAGAATGCGAGAGGACACAGGCGCGTCACCTGCCAGCAGGCCTGAGCTCGCCAGCACAGGCGGGGAGGGGCAGGGCTGACGCGGGCGCTGCGTGGGGGCCGGGGGTGGACCCCAGTGGGGGCAGCACCCCGCAGGCTGGGCTGGAGCCCCTGCTTTATGGCAGGAAGGTGGACGCTTGCAGAAGACTGGACTGGTCGGGCCCTTCAGCTGGTGAGGGCGGTGTTTCTGTGACCAGAGTTTGAATTTCTGCCAAAAAGGCTGTGTGCATTCAGCTTCCCTGGGCCCCAGGCCCCACTTTGGGGCTGAAAATAACCAAGCCCTGCTCTACACGCATCTTCCCGCCAGCAGGCACAGAGCTTCCGACTAAGTGTTGTCTCTGATGCTCGCGAGCACCCTGTCCGCCACTGCTCACTTGACACGGGGAAAGAGGCTGAGAGAAGCGGGTCTGGGCAGGGTCACCCAGAGGCCAGGGGCAAGGCCGGGGAGGGCCGCGAGAGCCTGTGTGGGCAGGAGTCTGTCTTCAGTGTCTCAGGTGAGGCCCAACCGCAAACTGGGTGCAGGACGCTTCGGGACACCAGCACCCTCGGCACCGCGATGTCTGAGCCCAGCCGAGCGCGGTTCAAGGCACAGGAGGCCCGGCTGGAGCCCACGTGAGGGGACAGACATGTGGGGGCTCGGAGGGTGGGCGGGCTCACGTGGGGCGGTGGGGGGCAGGGAGCCTTGCCAAGGGAACGACTGAGCTGGGTTTTGAGAGAGAAATAGGGATTCTGGATTTATGCGGGGCAGGGGAGAAGCAGCAGGCCTGACGGCCCAACTGCGGACCCCAGCGAGGGGGTGTCCAGGAAACGCAGAAGCTCCTTGGCCAGGCCGCCAGCGGCAGGAGGGCTCAGGGGCCGGCAGCGCCCTGCGGGGGTGCTTTCCGAGGAGTGACCTGCTGACCCCACTGCACAGAGGGAAACCGAGGCCTGAGGAGTGTGGCCTTTACTCAGTCACGCAGTCACTCAGTGTCTGGGCCTGGCACATCTCTCAGTTCTGCAGCCTCTGAGGGAGCCCACCCTCACCTCCTCAGACACCACCCTGCCCACGCCCTGGCCCTGCCCCCGGAAGCGCTTTCTGCAAACAAACGCCATTTGTCAGACAGCCAAAAGTGATGCCTGAGCCGTGGATCTTACTGGCAACAGAGACCAGCCACACCTCTGCTGATTCTCCTCTGAGGGCCCAGCGTGCCACAACTGGGGGCAGGGGCAGGGGCTCTGCCCACCTCCAGGAAGGCCCCAAGGGTGCTCGGGGGGCACCAGGTGCCCAGAGGGCTGAGGGCTCACTCGTCTCCTTCAAACCTTCCTCTGTGGTCGTGGCTGGCAGCAGGCGTCAAAGCTGGTGTGATGTGGGAGACGGGACACGCTCGGTCCTCCCGCTGCCTCGCCAAGTTGCCAGCTGAGAGCGATACCTGATGCCTGACGAGGCGCCGAGACCTGAGGGTCTGGGAGACCAGATGCCGCGTGCAGGGAGTGGTCTCATCATCGCTGCTGAGCGCGATCTTGGATTATGTTGTTTGCACACTCAGCCAAGCTCGTCTAGCCTGTTCATGCACTTCTGGCACATTCCCTTGACAAGACGCCTTTAAAAGGATCCTTAACAAGCCAACTATTTCCTAAATTTATTATCTTCAGTGCTTTGTGATAATCACACAGATAATTTTAATGGAAGATTAATGTAATAATCAAAAGATAAAAACGCCCTTTGGTCTGCCATTAGCTGGTTAATATGCTGTGGCTTAAAACTTGCACAATTTTATGCACTATAGAGTGTTTCACTTTCAATGCATTTTACAGCTTAAGGCATAAAAATATAGGGAGTTTTCATGGTCAATAAAGCCACAGCCGCCATCACTCGATCACCAGGAGAGCCCGATTTGAAGAGTCCTGCGATCCAGCTGAGGTTCCTCTCAGAGCCTGCAGAGCAGAGGCTGCACGGGGCTGACGGATCCTCTGGGTGGGCAGGGCTGGCTCTGGCACTGCTGTGGGGCCTGCTCCGTCACAGTGGTCTGCACCCCCCGCCCCCCTGCTCTGCAGGGCTCCTGTGAAGACTGAGATCGCATGCGCTGGACATAATCTGTGCTCAATAAATGTGAGAACAGTGTTTATATGAGGGAAAAACACCGGATACAGTCACTTGCTGGAGAAGTGCCTGTGGGTGCTAGACACTTCTGACGTCAGACTCTGATGATTGCTCGCTCCCTTCTGCCTGAGTCTAAAGTTCCCAATTTATGTAAAATTCCTGTCTTCTGGAAGCACCACGCACTGAGCCCGAGACTGACTGCCGAGGGAGCTCAGTGGAGACGCCGCAGCCGGTCCCTGGACGGGGCGGGCTGGGCGGAAGCTCGCGCAGATGGCGGGATGGCAGACCGAGTTGGGTATTTGCTTGGCCATAAAGAGCAGAGCTAGGAGAAGTGAATTTAATCTCCCACCCAGATCACAATCATTAGCTCGCTGAGTAAATCAGGCCCGGACGCCCAGGACTGTCCTGGAGTCTCATGCGTGAGGCGCTATTTCTATAAACATTCTGATATCAAAACAGACACTTTAGGGGAGGTGACAGGCCGCGGGGATTTTGCAGAAAAGCAGCTGCTTCCAGGGAGCATTTGGGCCTGGAAAATGATTTCTCTGCACTTGCTCTTCCAGTCTCATACTGAAGTCATAAACCTATGTTTCTGTCATCAATCTGCTGTTGTGAAAATTATTTTGATGTCAAACACAGGATTATAATTTTACTAGAATCCTTCTCAAGTCTTGAATATTTTAATGCTGGCTATAAAAAAAGGCCCAGTCCCTGACGGGGTAATAGAATATTTCTCTACCCAGTCCCTGAACACTGCACAAGCTCCCTGGGCTGTGTGTGATGAGCTGGCAGGTAACTCTTAGCTCGCTGGTCTCGAGCACCTGCTGGCCACTGTCTCCACGCCTGCGCGGACCAGCCGGCAAACGCTCCACTTTTCAGCCAACTGACCACGCTACTCTGCCTCGGCGCCAACTGTCTTCCTGGCAGGCCCAGCTCTTCAATTCTCACCTACTGCTTAAATCTTTTGCAGCCCGGAGGACTTGGCCTCAAAATGTTTTTGCAAAACAATTCCATGTTGTTGAAAATCTATTCAACGCCCATTGTGAGGTTAAAAGCCAGAGTTTGGGAACCTGTCAAGTGTGGCTGTGCCAGGCATGGCCCTGGCTGTTACTCCCACCTCCGCCCCCTCCTCCTCCAGAAAAAGGAAGCAGTGCCTCGGAGTTGTGAAGGTTCCAGGAGACAGAACACGAGAGTGCTTAGTCTGGGGCCCGCACTTCGTGGCCCCCAGGACAGCTGAACTGCTCTTACAACTGTCCGCCCCTCAGCTCTAAGTCCCACTGTGCCACCAAGTTGTGATTTTCTACAGGGTCAGTTGACGTAAGGTTCTGGTTGAAGACTGAAGTCTCAGTTTGCAAGAATCTGCAAACCACCAGTCCAGGAATACTCAGTGTGGCGCAGAGATCAGCAGCCAGGCAAATCTGGAAGCTTGTGAGAGATGCATCATCTTGGTCCTACCCCCGACCTGTCCAGCAAGACCCCAGGGAGCCTTCCCAGCCTCACGAGGCTCCAGGAGGCTCCACAAGGGTCCGTGTGCCCGGGCCCCTCGGGCCCTCCCAGCCGCACACTCGCCATGCCTTTCTGACCCGTTTTGGGGGGCTCCCTGCCTGCAGTGCACTGTCTCTGTACTCATTAGGGCTGGGCTTTTTTTTTTTCATAGCCAGCATTAAAATATTCAAGACTCGTGAGTCTAGTAAAATCATGCGTCTCCTCCCCCATCCACCGGCTCCAGAAAGTCGCCCGTCTCACCACAGCGCCTTTGTCACTCTGACAATCCTCTTGGTCTTTTTCTGCTTAATGCCTGTCTCCTCTGATAGAGGAAAGTTCTCTGAGGCCAGTGGCTGGCTGTCACCCCACGAGGTGCTCAGTGAGGACTGCTGAGATACATCCAATTCTAGCACAAAGTCGGGTGTGCTTAGAACAAGCTGCTGAAATTACCCTGAGTATGTTAAGATGTCTTCAAACAACAATGCTTTCCTCAGTCTGCTCCAGCAAACCTCAAGGAGCCCCTGAGACACATGGAGGAAAAGAAACAGCTCATTCTAAGGATAACTGAACCTTTGAAGACCCAGGGGGTGCTACCCTCTGGGGCGCATGTGGCTCTGGCCCCGGAGTGCCCGGCTGGGTGGCTGTGGCGACCTGCTTTCTCGCTGCAGGGCTCGGCTGAGTCTTGTCCAGTGCCAGGGCGGGACAGCCCCTGCAAAGTGGGCTGGAGCAGAAGCCGGGCCAGCACCTCATCCCGGCCCGGAAGGGACACTCACCTTGAGCACGATTTCATTGACGGTAGCAGCGTCGGACTCGAAGTAGAGGTGTTTGTAGTCATGATTGCTTAGATACGTGAGTTTAAATATTGCGTGACCTGGAAAGAGAGGGGAAAGATGGCGTTGAGGGGTCTAGTGTGACTGACGGGGAGGCCCCCCGTTCTCTTCGACACTCCACGGAGTGAGAGCATGTGGAGGCTTCAGGCAACGCCTCCTCCCTAGAGTGGTGTGGAGCTCAAAGGGTGGCTGGTGCTGTGGCACTGCCAGGGTTCAGGGGCCAGCATGGCAGGAAGGCTTGGCAGAACTACTTCTGCACAGTAACCACAAGGAAAAGGTGGTATTTTATGGGGGAAGGCCAATTTACTCCAAATTATTACTCTACAAATAAAATAACTCTGCTTACAGTTGAATTAACGAGCAACAGGAAGGAAAGGCAGGTAGTAATGCTATTATGAGGCTTCTCGGCCGCCCTGGCTCTCCCGGAAGGGGGTCCTGGTCTGTGACCTGCCTGGGAGCTGCCCGCCAGGCCTCGGTCATTTCAACCCTGGAAGCAAGGATGGGGGGCAGGGCGAGGGCCTGGTCCAGACACCATGGGGAGCTGGCATCTCACCCAGGGGCCAAATCACGCCTGGGTCCCTGCCCCTCCTCCCCCTTCAGAACAACACTCACTCCTGGGAGTGCTTCCTGGCCTCGCCTCATCCCCACTCCGTGCCGCCCACTCAGGCCACAGGCTGGCCATCCTCCCCGGGTGTGTCCTTACTCCTGACCTGTCTGGACAAGACCTGCTGATCCCTGTGACTCAGTTCAGCCCTCACCGCCCTGGGGTCAGTTACCAGGCTTCACAGTTTCACTTCTAGGACCCGCTCTGTGGCCTCCCACGCCCAGGCACAGAGAGCGGCTCACGACGCCCACGGCCACGTCAGTCCCCCTGCTCTGGCCACTCACATTCCCTCTGGAAGCTGAGGCCCAGATGCCCAAAGGGAACCTCCGCCTGGCCCATCGGCACATGCGGCCCTGGGCTTCTGGGAGGCTCGTGGTCCTCAAGACAGTCTTTTCTTCTTGAGCGATTCTCAAGCTGGTTTCTGTCCCCAGCCACTCCCTGAAGCAGAGGCAGCACCCAGCCAGCTCCCCCAGACCCAGGAGCAGCGGGAATGACATGGGGGCCTGCGCCGAGCGCCCCAGACACCATCCCCCCTCATGGGCTCCGAGACACCATCTCCCCTCAGGGCTTGAGAGATTAAAATGCAGCAGATCTTCCATGAGACCTTCTCATCTCTGTTCTAATTGAAGCAGTGGCTGGTCACAGTTATTAATTAATAATATATCACCCATATTACTGTAAGTTCACCTCTTTCCCGGAGAAATCTTCTTGGGGACTTTATTTACAGGAGCTAATTCTTCAGCTCTCCAAAAATAAACTGATATATGTTGTACATCTGTGGCCAGGAAAGTCGAGCTGTGGCTATTTTATCCTGAAAACATCATTAAGATATACTAATTGTGACTATAAATTCCATTTTGAAAAAATTAGCTAATAATTCCTGAAAAACGTCACTTTCAGGCACTTGACAAATTTAGCCCGATTCTAAACCGCGGCACTAAATAAAATGTTCGAATCCTTAGCCGGAAGCTAATCACCCTGCTAATATATAAATGACCCGTTTCTGATCAGAAACTGAATCTCACACAGATTTATCTGCATGGTGTGCGTGTGTGCATGTGTCTGTATTTTCACAGGCTCCATCCCCGACTGCCTTGGGGGTGACTGTGTGGCAGACAATGCAGCCGCCTCTGGGGCCGAGCTGTGACCAAGCGAGCCATCTATGAAGGGCACGGGGCTGTGAAGGACGCGCGGACGCCCCCGCCAGGAGGCCCGACTGCTGACACTTGGCTGTCACAAACACAGACACGGGGCCCAGGGCTAAGAAGGACCAGACGGTCTCAGGGAGGCCCGCAGACCCGAGGCTTCGGGGTTCACTGAGCACCTGGAGAAGTGATCTCCTGGACGGTCCACGCCACCTGCTCCCGCTCGTCACTGACAAACAAAACCACCCCTCAAGATGCTGTAACGTGTTCACCTTCACCACCAAGTCACCACTGAGAACCTCAGGCGGCGCCAAATCTACCCACGGCACAGGCGAGCTGCGGTTTGCACAGGCCTGGGGGCTCTGGAAGGACTGAGTCCCTGCGCCCACTGTGGGCCGAGGGCAGCCTGCAGCTCATCTGCGCAAGTCCCCTGGACACAAGAAACTGCCCGGAGCCGAGTCTCCTGAAGGGCTACGTCTGGCCCAGGTGATGGCGAGACACCCCACCCTCCGTATCTGGCTGTGCCGGGGGTGGCCTGCACCCCTTGCCTGTCCTCAGCACTCACTGGAGACCCCAAGGAAGAGTGAAACAGACTGAAATGACGCAGGGTCCTCTCGCCCCCAACTCTGCAGCCTCTGAGTTGTCCTTTCCAGCGAGAGCCTTCACGCTGCCGAGAAAGGAGCCCTCGGATTTTCGATGTATCAGCCCTTCTGACTTAAGTCACGATGATAATGGGGAGGCTCTGTGGGAGGAGTGGCGAGGCAGCACTCTCCACACACGCTGGGCTCACAGCCATGCTTTCACTGGTGCTGGGCCCTGGCTCTGGGGGCCATGCACCCCAGGGCTCCCTCGGTTTTGCTGGGTAGCCACAAAGGCCGTTTTACTCAGCTCAGGTCCTGACGAGAGCACAGGCCAGCGGGAGGACCAGAGAAGCAAACAGCAAACAGTGAGAGTTGAGCCTGTTAAAAGTCAGTGGGGGGCTAAGGGGAGGGCTTCAGTGTGGGGGCCCTGCCTGGTGACGCAATCAGTTAAAGCACAGCACTATGATGCCATCGTAGGCACTGTGGCATGAGTACAATCCCCGGCCAGGGGGTGACCCACATGGCACAGCAGACCTCTTCTGTCCCCCCGCTGCTCACCTCAGCAGTGTGTTTCAGTCCATCTGCCTGTTCTGCTCCCCACTGTATCTGGTGAAGCCTCTCACCCACCACCACCACTGGCCTGTACCCCAGTTCTGTATGCATAAATAAATCTTTTTAAACAAAGTTAGCGTGGGGAGTAGCCGCGGGGACCCTGGCGCAGTGGCTGGCAGGGGGAAGCTGCTGGCCCCGGGCAGCCTAAGGCAGGGGACGAGTGGGCAGAGGAGGATGCAAAGGGTAGTGGCAGCGTAGGGACAAGTGGATAGGACGCAGGGCTCCTGGGGATGGACGGGTCACAAAGGTCAGCACCGGTCGCCAGCTGAGGGCTGCAAGCGACACAGTGTGGTAAATGCCACCCAACTGCCTGTGGGTGCTCACGCTGGTGCCCCAGGGCCTGCGGGCAGCGAGGGGCTGCCGCACTCATCCGATGGGACAAAGTGCGGTTTGGACGAGACGGCAACAGGCTGTGAGCGAGGGAGTGGCCTGAGAAGTACCGAGAAGGCAAAGTTGGCAGGTCTTGGGGATCCTTTTCAACAGAGGGCCCGTTAACAAGCAGAATCCACACTTGTAATTTCACCCAGTCCAACACCTATACACTTAAGTGCAACTGACCTCTTGCTGGAAACAAATCTATCAATGAACATGAGTGGTCGAGTGCTCCGTTTCCGCCGGAGTGGCCAGGGAGGAGGAAGCAGGCGTTTCAGTGCTGACTGGGCAGACTGAGCACATGATGGAACAAGGACAGCCCATCATGGCCTCCTCGGCCCAGGGCATCTGTTCTGGGGTGTTTGAGGGAATCTGCGGTAGGCAGGTGACCCTTGAAAATTCAGAGAATCTCAGTAGTTTTCACAGGAAAGGAGTCCTGGGGGAAAACTGCTTTTGTAGATGTCGGCTGAGGAAAAAAAATGGACTCGTATGATTTAAAAGAAAATGCAGAGTCTAATGTTCTAATTAGCTTAAATCATTTTGTTTAGATTATTCTATTCTGTTTGGAAATCTACGCAGGACAGAAACCTCTGGAGTCAGAAACTCAGAATGAAACTCCTGCTCTCCTGAACTCCGAAGAGGGTCCCAGCTCACCCCGGGGGGTGCATCAGTTTCTCAGGACCACTTGGAGATGGTGGGCGTCCAGTGAAGACGCTCATTTGATTGACGCTCTTCAATTCTGAAGATTTCGTTTTTAACTGGGCCTTCTCGGAGAGACCTGCTTTCACAGAGCCGCAGACGCCAAGGCCATGCAATGGGGCGTAAGACATGGCATGCAAGGGCCGGTCGGTCCCACGTGGGGACAGACGCGACACTACAACCGCTTCTGAGGACTGAAGGCCAAGCCTGGACGTGTGAGAATATTTACACTTATGTAATTTTTCCAAAGTAAAACAGAGAAGACGGAAGGGAACACCGAGCAGAAACTAATTAGCAGCCTAAATGTCAGAAGCGGGGCCCCACTCGGGCTCTCGTGCTGTAATTTATCTTCTGTTTGCGAATTTTAACTTACGCAGAGGCTGTGCTGAAGGGAAGAGGCTCCTCTGGTCAATTCACAGCAGTGGCCACTGTGAAAAGGCTTCGCGTGTCACATGCGGGGACAGCAACGCACCAGCTGGGGCACCCCCGCCCCCAGGAATGTCGACTACCGTGTGAAAGGGGGGTCCCTCTGACACAGCCTGCTTGTGGGTCAGAGCCAGGGCTCCCTCCCGCGCCCGTCAGGGTTTAGCCTCACACCTCCTGCCACCGAGAGTCGAGAGTCGCTACTTGCCAGGAACGCCCCAAAGAAACCTGAGTTTTTCTCTTTTGCAGTGAAAAATTCCTGGAATTTAAAGAAGACAGAAAGCGGGGAGACCACGCGCCCCCACAGTGTTGACACCACGGCACGATGGCATCCTGGCTTCCCCATCATTCTCTGCGTGAGTTGTAAGCAGACGGTCCAGGGAAGTTCGGCCCAAGCGTCCCCACGTCGACATGGTGACGGCTGTGCTGTTCCCGCACGCAGAGGCTGGGGGGGGGGGGCCTGGCTGGACGCAGCTTCCTCAGCGACGGCAGTGTCAGGCTGGGCACCTTCGAGGATCTGTATCCTCAACCCCCTCACATTAGTCCTGGGAAGTTTTCCAGGGTCTGACTTTTTCTGGTCTCCCTGACTTGGAAGGGGGTGGGAA